GGATGACTTTACCAATCCAGATATAAACAATGAGCTGTTAATCTTCAAGCATGAACAGGCAGAAAAGAGGTTTTCTTCTAGAGGTGGGGAGATGGTCATCAGGGTGTGCAATACCAGTGGAAAAGAGCCAAATATAATTTCAGAAATATTGTGAGCTACTTGGCAGCATGTAATCTGATGATTGTTAATTACCAGGCTACAAATTGCTTAACATTTACTGGCACACAACAGGCCAACACAGTATGACTCCCTGAAACTTTCCTAGCAAGCTTTAAGGTTTACTAGCCAAACACTTATGGCAAATACCTCTTGTGCCCACTCACCAACTTACCAATGTCATTGTCAGAGATAATGTAGTTGAAGTGATAGCATAAATGGTGGGGTATCTGGGTAGCTCAGTCAGTTGAGCATTGGACTGAATTTTGGCTCCTGTCATTACCTCATGGTTTGTGTGTTCAAGCCCTGCCATCAGGCTATCTTTGCTGTCAGCATGGAGCCTGCTTGGGACTCTCTCTCTCTCTCTCTCTCTCAACATAAACATTTTTAAAAATGCATAAATAGTAATATGAACCATACGAAAGTTATGTTTTTATAGGTCAAGACAATTAAGTAGTGGCAATTTCATATGATTCAACCTATGCTTACCCATCACCCAGGATAAGAGGCTTAGTATAGATCATCGCAGATTGAGTCTGGTATTTGACAAATGACAGTATTAACTGTCCACCAAAAAACCCCTTTGTGGCAACTGCAGATCTATAAAACAATCAGAAAAACCTGGCACAGAATCAGCATTAAGCACATATAAATTGATAATCAATAAAGAAGTTATTTAAAATTCACCAGGATAGGGGCACCTGGCTGGCTCAGTAAGTAAAGCACGTGACTTAAAATTTCGGGGTTAATTTGAGCCACACGTTGGGTGTAGGGATTACTTAAAAATAAAATCTTAAAAAAAGTCACCAGGGAGAATGTAAACTGGAGCAGGCCCTCTGGAAAACAATGTGGAGGTTCTTCAAAAAATTAACAACAGAACTCCCCTATGACCCAGCAATAGCACTGCTAGGAATTTACCCAAGGAATACAGTGCTGAGGTATAGGGGCACACGTACCCCAATGTTCATAGCAGCACTCTCAACAATAGCCAAAACATGTAAAGAGCCTAAGTGTCCATCAACAGACAAATGGATCAAGGAGATGTGGTTTATCTATACAATGGAATATTACATGGCAAATGAGAAAGAATGAAATGAGAAAGAATGGCCAGGTGTAGAAACATGGATGGAACTAGAGGGTGTTATGCTGAGCGAAATAAGTCAGGCAGAGGACAGATACCATGTTTGCACGTATAGGAGGATTAGGAGGAACTTAACGGAGGACCGTGGGGGAGAAGGGGAAAAATAGTGGGGGAGAGGGAGGGAGGCAAACCATGAGAGAGTCTTGAATGCTGAGAACAAACTGAGGGCTGATGGGGGGGGGGGAGGGGAAGGGGGTTGATGGGAACAGAGGGCACCTGTGGGGATGAACACTGGGTGTTATATGGAAACCAACTTAACAATAAACTATTAAAAAAAAAAAAAAAAACAACTTGACTTGATAACCAAACCTGAATTTATACCATGTAAGCAGCATTTCAGTTTCAGAAATATTAAAATATACTTTAATGATACACAGAATACTTTGGTATAATCTTTTTTTTTTAAGTATTTTTATTTATTTCTAGGAGAGAGACAGTGTGAGCAGGGGAGGGTGAGAGAGAGGAGTCAGACTCTGAAACAGGCTCCAGGCTCTGAGCTGGCAGTCAGCACAGAGCCTGACGCGGGGCTCGAACCCACGAACCGCGAGATCATGACCTAGGTGAAAGTCGGACACTTAACCGACTAAGCACGCAGGTGCCCCTACTTTGGTATAATCTTAACAAAATATGTTATGGTATGTCAGTCCTCATTATTCATGGATTCTGTTTGGGAAGTCACTTGCTAAAATTTATTTGTAAGTCCAAAATTAATACTTATGGTGCTTTCATGGTCATGCATGAACATGCATGGAGCAGCCAAACATTTTTGTCACCTGATAGGAGTGTTCCCAGGTGAGGCTGAACAAAGAAATGCTCTGCCTTGTTTCAATTCTTACTGTAAACAAAAATCCTTTTCATGGTCTGTATTGTGCCACATTTTTTTCTATTCTGTGCTTCTGTGGTTTAAACTAGCCCCTAAGTTAGTGGTATCTTGTGTTTCTAAGCACAAGGCTGTGATGTGGGGCACCTGGCTCATTCAGTGTAGCATGTAACTACATCTCAGGGTTGTCCACATCAGACATAGAGCTTGCCTTTTGGAGGAAACATGTTAGAAGAGATTTGTTCAGGCATGAGTTACAATGGTCATGAATTCAATGTAAAAGATACAATATATATTAAATATGAAGTCTTTAAATAGACACACAAACCCAGGTTATGTACTAATCCTTTGATGAAAATGTTGTGACACAGAAACCTAGCCCTGTACTTACCTTAGGAGCAATGGTCAGTATTCACTATTGCAGGGTTCTCTGCAACTTTATTACAACAGAACTACCATAATAAGAATCAACTGCACTTAATGTCTAGAAACTTTGGTGTTATTTTTCTAAAATGAATCACTAATATACTAACTTTATCCATGATATATGAAATAAACAAAACTTTAAACATTTACTGAAAACTGTGTTCAGAAAAATGGCACACCATCATGTTCCTAGACAGAAAGTAATAAATATTCCCATGAGAATTTTCACATTAAATAACAAAGACCAGTCTTCAGGCATCCTTTTTCTTTTCTGATAAAGCTTTTGAGAGAGAGAATCCCAAGCAGGCTCCATATTGTCAGTGAGGAGCCAGACATGGGACTCAATACCACAATCCAGGAGAACCTGAGCCAAAATCAAAAGTCGGACGCCCAACCGAGCCACCCAGGTACCCCCCAGAAATTATTTTGTTGCTATTTTAATTTGAATTCCCTGGAAAATGTCTACTATTGACTTTAGAGTTTCTTCATCATGTTAAGCAATCGTCTTTCAGGAACAATTTCTGTGCTATTCGTTTACGTTTTCAGGGATAATTGCTATGTTGTTAAATATTATTCTGATGTCTGCTATAGAAAATCGGGTGAATTTTGTTTGCTACCTATATTGATATATTCCTCTTTATTGAGAGAGTGGGAGATGGGCAGAGGGAGAGAGAGAATCCCAAGCAGGGAGGAGGGGCTCAGTCCCATGATCCTGGGATCATGACCTGAGCCGAAATCAAGAGCCAGACATTCAATGGACTGAGCCACACAGGTACCTCTATATTAATACATTTCAAAACACTAAGCTATCTTGCATAACCCAACAAAATCATAATAGATTAAAACGTAATGAAATTTGATTTTCTATTATTTCACTTATGGTTTTCTACCTAACTCAGAATACATTAAGAAAACTTTCATATATAAAACCTTAAGCTTTAAGAGAGATCATTTATGTGCAAAATGCAGCAACACTAAGATCCTATATACTTTCTTGGGGAAAAGGGGCAAGAAAGCTTATCACAGTTTGGTCTGTTTTCTTTTCATTGCAGTGCTTCCTTTACAGCTAATAATGGCAATCAGTTCAAACAGCTTTTTCTTCAACTTCTTTTCACATAAAAATGAAACAATGACCTCTAGTGGAATACTCAATCTATACCAACTGTGCTTTAGTTTACATTTAAATTGTTTCTGTAAATATCTAGATGTTAAAATTTTCACACACAAATAAAGTTAATAATCTTGCTACTTTGGCATTTGACTTAAAATCAAAATGAACTTCATATACAAACTGCTTTTAGAACAGACTAGGTATTATGAAATACTCTTTATCACCCGAGCATTCAGTTTGTAATTACGTACTGATATTTATTTAACTCTGCTTCCCTTTTAGCCTATAAGCTCCATGAGGGCAGGAGTCAACTCGTGTTTATTCATGTGTGCAAAGTCGGCTCTGCCTGCCCCCTTAAAATCTGCTCTCCAGCATACAGCATCAATGGGCTCCCTTGCCTTCTATGTGGGATTCAAGTAACAGGTGCACCACAGATCAAAGATAGAAAAGAATGAGACACACCCAAAACACACAAATAATACACTTCTCTCTCTCTCAATTTACATAACCCTATTCTGGGGCCTACACCTTCTTTTTAGATAATCTTTGCAGAAACTTTCCTTCACCTTTAAAAAACAAAACAAAGCCCATATACATGATTAAATGTAAATACAGGTTTAGCCTCTCCCCTCAGTTCTGAGGTTTTTTCCTTAGCATGTGAACAAATGGTAGGAAGCTCTGCAAGGAACTGCATATACTATGAGGTATTTTTCTCTAAGCTTAACCAACTGCAACAACTGGAAAATAAATCAATTTTGCTGTCAAATAAAGTAGGTTTCTTTCTTTTTCTTCTTAAAAGACTTGTAAAAGTACCCGATAAAGGAGCCACCAACCACCAACAGGTACATTTCACATTAACAGGTTTCAACACCGCTGACAACTGATAATCTAGTGAATGTTATCTGCAGTTTCAACTCAAGAGTATGTAAAACTATATTCTATTGAGACTGTAACAAACCCATTAATGGGGACAACAAAGTCTAAGACTCCTGAAATGGAAGATGACTATCACCTTTTACTAAGTACCCAAGTCTCCATCAAGTAAAACTCAGGAAAAGGGAATGAATTTTAGACCCAATCCAGAGGACGTTAATTTCTGAAATACCAAAAAGAACTTATAATTTCACTTGTAGGTTCCACAGAATGGAATCAAAGTAAAACAATAAAATGCATATTCAGTGCATGTCAAATAGGTATATATTCTACATACATTCATACAAAAATTTTAGTTCAAAAATTAAAAGCTTGACTTAAGAATGAAATTAGTCTTGGGATTACCTAGTAGTAATGCTTAGATCCTACTATGTAAATATCATGAATCTATATGAACTATTAAAATTTGACAGTCAAACAGACAACTGTGTCCTACAATTATGTTTATTAAAAACTGACATAAACAAACAAAACCTGTACAAAAAATATTCCAAATCACGTGTCACTTTGAAATAGTAATCTTGAGAGATATTATCGCCTCGGACCCCCTCTTCCTCTACCCCGACCACGTCCTCTTCCTCTTCCTCGGCCTCGGCCTCTTCCTGCAACTAAGAAAAAAGAAAAACAAATCAAGGTTAAATCTTTTCTGCAATGATGTTACCTGGGCCACCACAAACTACATCTAGAGGAAAGAAACTTCAACCCAGCTTCTCTCAAATATGACCTCGCGGTCATCTCTCCCAACACATTATGAAGCAGAACCCAAAGCTGCTGGCCTGCAAAGATAATTTTTGTTTCATGTGATTTGAGAAATTCACCAGGTTTGAAAATATTTTTTTTATCATGTCTCAACTTCACCACAAAATAAAATCCAAATGATCTAAACCTTACACAAGATGGAGGAGATATCATATCAGTGGAACAGAACATGAACACCATGTGCCAGATTTTTTTTTTTTTTGCTGTATAAATCCAAGCAAGTTAATTCAAAGCCAGGAAAATCTAAAATACATGACATCAAACGATCTTATGACTCCAGAATCTTATGTCACTTGATCCAATCATAACCAAGTACCTTAATTAACCCTTATAGCAATATTCCTGTCAGCTGGTCATCCTAACCCTACTTGAATATTATAGCAACAAAAACTCATTTCTCAAATGAACTTTTTCGATCTTCAGAGAGTGATGAATACTAAAAAAATCCTGACATGAAGTTCAAGTCAGTCACATTCTAAACGTCTGTCTACCCCTGCTGCCAACCTTAGCATTCAAAGAAAGAGAGTTAAGTCTAGGACTTCTGTTTATCTCCCATTCCTTCTGAAATACTACTTATGACTGGAAAGGAGTAAAAATGATAAATACCCATAAAAAAGAAAGATGGAGGGGGGGAACACAGCAGTTGAAAAATTTCAGAAAGTAGACTAAGAACTGTAAATGTTTGGTAAAGGAAGAATAACTCCTAGAAGACCTAGGACCTTAGAAGCCAAGGGTGAGATAAGGCAGGGGGCCGAAAACAAACTGGTTGACAATCATTTGGAACAGAAGACTGGCGAGTCTTCTCTTCCACACCTTGCAAAGCTAATGATTATTTCCTGGACAGGTACATAGGAGAGAAAAAGTAAAGTAAACCTAAAGACACTGAAGCAGAAAGTCTTCATATATGAAAATATACGCAAAGTGGTTAGCAGCAAGAGGCACAAAACTGAGGGGAAGGGAAAAGGGATTAATTTAGCATTTTTTCAAGCTATAGGCTACAACCTAAATTTTTTTTTTCCTGAACTGAAAGAGGAAACATATGGGTATTTATATGTATTAGAACTCAGTAATCCTGAGATTTTTGTTTGTTATATAAACGAATGGGTCATGACACAAAGTATATTTCCTAGTGTGGGCAGAAGGCAAAAAAGCTTCAAAATCAAGACCCTATATTAAGTGAGGGTCTACAAAACACCCAGCCTCTTTCTCCTGCTTTGCTCCTATAATGCTGGCTACCAGGCATATATCCCCCACACTAGATGACTAGAATCTTTTCATGAAGGGAAGAAGAAGAAGAAGAAGAGAGAAAAAAAAGAAAGAAAGAAAAAAAAAAGCAAGTTCCAGAAACCACTCTAGATCATGAAATTTTGGGTCTCCTCATGAGCCACCCTATGGTGAGACCCACCAACTCCAGCCTCCCTTCCCAGAACTTCTCTTTTCAGGATTCTTGTTAAATAATAGATGACCAGGGACACCTGGGTGGGTCAGTCTGTTAACTGACTTCAGCTCATGAGCTCCTGGATCTTGAGTTCAAGCCCGGCACTGGGCTCTGCACTGACAGTGGGAAGCCTGCCTGGGATTCTCTCTCCCTCTCAAAAATAAATAGGTGGTTATCAAAGGAATGGGGGATGGAAGAAGGGGTGAAATAGGTGATGGAATTAAGGTGTGAATTTGTCATGATGACCACCAAGCAACATATGGAACTGCTGAATCACTGTACTGTACACCTGAAGCTAATATAACATTGTATGTTAACTTACTGGAATTAAACTAAAAAAATAAAAACTAAAAAAAGAAAAAAAAGGCAAATAAAAAGAGAAACCCAAGGAAACAATGTCGAGTACAAAATAAAACTTAAGAAAAAGAAAAAACTCCAATATCCTATGACTTAATATCCTATCCAGTATTTTCCTTACATCTCTGAAAGAAAACATGATTGTATTATAAATTACCAGAGGAAGCCTAAGATTAACTATATGCTAAACTGGAAGATAAAAATAAAAAATATTTCTCAGAAAATAGAATAAAAAAACAGAAAAATAAAAGACTTAGACAATCACTCATAACGCCCAATTATTCCAGGGAGAAAGAGGGGCGCCTTGGTGGCTCGGTCAGTTAAGCGTCTGACTGGCTCAGGTCATGATCTCACTGTCTGAGCCCGTGTTGGGCTCTGTGCTGACAGCTTGGAGCCTGGAGCCTGCTTTAGTTTCTATGCTTCCCTCTCTGCACCTCCCCCCAAATAAACAAACATTAAAATAAAAAAAAAAGAATTCCAGAAGAACAAAGTAAAAGAGAAGATATTTACCAAGGCTACACAAGTTTATTTCTTAGCTTGAAAAAGCAAAAATACCCATATTTAAGGGGTCTACCAAATAGCCAAAACAACAAAATGGAGGAAAAAATACGGAGAGCAGGCAAAAGACCCCATGTCAAGTCATTAAGAAATTTCAGAACAGGAATAAAGAAGTCAAATCTCCAATCTTCCAAAGTGTGTAAAGGATGTGGGACTAGGCCATGCAAAGAGACAAGAAGAATAGCATCAGTCTTTAATATCAACACTAAAAACTATTATAAATACTATATGCACGCACAAGTACAGAGAATTAAAACAAAATAAAAAAATCTGTGGCATTCACAAATGTTTATATTTTGAGTAGCGGATCAAAGTTTAAATACACATTCACAAAAATGTTTATAATCTTTCAAACTTACCAGCTTCCCTTTTCTTAGATTTCACCTTCGGTTCAACATCCACAAGTAGCGTATCCAGAGGTAAGCTGTCTGGCAGAATAAAATATCGGATGTTATTTCCTCGGATACTCAGTGTTTCCAGTTGTACTGGTTCTCTATTCTTCAAAGTCATTTTCACAGCTTTAAGATGTGTATTCATGCTGACATCTACACCTAGAGGAAAAAAGAGAGCAATTATTAGCACGATAAAGAAGGCAACCAGTTAATCAGGCCACAGTAAATACCAGAACACAAGAGTGCTGTCTGTTCTGCCACAGTGCACATTTCTGTGACATAATTTAATACAATTGTTAAGTGGGTGAATGTCAGTGTAAACCAGAAATCCTTCCTTCAGAGATTATCTCCAGCACATTAATGTTGTGCACAGTTAGATATGCTTATAGATGTGAACGCAACAAGCTCTGAAGGAACGTGAGTGGTATTCATGACTCACTCTCACTGTGCCCAGGTATTCTCATCTCAGGGTGAGTAATGTTTACTGCATGTTCTCTGTCTCTATTACTTCCTTATACCCCATTCCACTAAATTATATTCATCCCTGTCTTATATAAAGTTCTATTTGTACCACAGTATTTTTTGTTATTATGAATTTAACATCTTTTTAACATCTTTTTTGAAAAGGAATGTTACTGTTTTTGTTAATACTTTAACTACCAAGTTGTACAAGTTTTAAATGGTCTGCCTCAAACAATTTTCCCCATTGTTTCCAGTATGAGATTTCACAAAATAAAAACTTTTCTAGAATGAAAAATATGGCAACATAGTAGAAATACCCAATTATTGGAGCCTTTACCAATATAGCTGAACAAATGGGATACCTAAAGATGTAGTTAATTTTTATTAAGTTAAGTTTATTTTTTTTGAGAAAGCTAGCGAGCAAGGGTAGGTAAGAGACAAACAGAGAATCCCAAGAAGGCTCCATGCTGTCAGCACAGAGCTTGATGCGGAGCGGGAACCCATGAACTGTGAGATCATGATCTGAGCTGAAACCAAGAGTTGGATGCTTAACTGACTCAGTCACCCAGGCACCCCAAGATCTAGTTAATTTCTGACCCTAGGCAGTTAGGCCAGAAAACATGAATTTTCTCAACTTTCCCAACATCTGTCTCAAATTTATTAATTTTATTACTAATCTTTTCCTTCTTCCTCCTTGTTTTAGGAAAGAAGAGATGTTCTTCTTTTCCAAAATTAATATACTTTTGATATATTCCATCTTCTTGGAGATTTTGATCCATCAAGGGAGAGGAAAAAATTAGATGTATAAGCTCTTTCTACTTGTCAGGAACCACTTGCTAAAACATTTTAACTTAATCCTCAATATCCTTGTTGAGAGGACTAAAACACATACTCATACAGGATACAAGAAACTTGTAACTAGTGTTGCTGAGGAGAATGGAATAGATTTTAGTAAATTTTGCCCACCCAGTGAACTGAAAATCTTCCCCCAGGGACATCATTTATTAAGTACCTACTATCTATGTTAGGCAAACCTTGCTTTATGTTTGTGTGTCACCCATCACTAGATTTTGAGTTCCTAAAAACCACCACATCTAACATAGAGCTCACGAGAGAGAAAACTAAATCCTTATTTTGGAGTTTTAACAGAACAGTAATTGCCCTTCCTCAGATATGGTCAATGATCGTACGGTATTGAAACTTTATACTGTACTGATTTCCTTTCAAATCAATTGGTGTTGCAAATATGAGTATATTCAAATACGATCAGCTTAATACCATATATTTCTCTTGGTTTACTCAGATGCTGGATCTACACATTAAAGGGGCTCCCGGGTGGTTTGGTCAGTTGAGCATCTGACTTGATTTCGGCTCAGGTCATGATCCCAGGGTCTTAAGATTGAGCCCCACACTGGGCTCCATACTGAATGTGGAGCTTAAGATTCTCTCTCTCTCACCCCTGCCCCTCACCTCTGCTTGTGTGCTCTCTCTAAAAGAAAATTGTATAGATTAAAAAAATTCTTTATAAACTTAAAATTTAAATATTTCAGAGACTGGGATCCCATGCTAAGATAGCATTTTCATTCATTTGGCCCAGAAACTGTTTTGAAGTTTTGCAATTTTGGGGGGAACACATACCATGAGTGAAGAATCGCAGTGCCTTAAATATAAAACTACACATACAATATCATTAAAGCCAAGAGTTAGACACATAAGAAAAAAGACTGAAAGAACATATTTCTCACATATATTTTCCATTTCTCACATATATTTTCACCCAAGGTAATCAAACATGAAAGTCCCATCCTCTATCTTCAAGAACTTCCTGGTCTAAAAGGTGGAAAGGGTGGAAAAAAGTGTTATAAAAAAAAAGTGTTATAACGCCATCTGATATCCATACCTGTGATTGTTCCATGGACCTGTGTTCCATTCTTTAATTCGATGGTTACAGTTTCATGACTCAATTTCATCAAAAATCTATGAAAACAGTGGAAATAAAACCATAAATGTTCACCTTTTAACACTTTAAAATATTTTTTTAAGTGAAAGAGTGAAAATTCTAGATGTTCAAAATCTGCTGTAGAGGCTACCTGCATCAATTCCTAATAATAATCTGCATAACAATTTCAGCTTTTTTGAATCACACCTTTAATATTTATGAAGGAACATAATACCAGAAACTGTTATTTGGATATTTCTGATTCTCTAAGCCATTAAACTGCTTAATCTCCAATCCATGCATACAGGTCAGAAAGTCATTTCTGAGGCACCCAGGTGGCTCAGTCGGCTGGGCATCTGACTTCAACTCAGGTCATGATCTCATGGCTGTGGGTTCAAGCCCTGCATTGGGCTCTGTGCTGACAGCTCAGAGTCTGGAGTCTGCTTTGGATTCTGTGTCTCCCAATCTCTCTGCCCACCCCCCCCCCCCCCGCTCTATCTCAAATAAATGTTAAAACAAAAATTTAAAAAAGTCACTATAATTCATAAAAACTGAATTCAAGAAATTATATGAAGGTGGTAAAAAGGTACAAGCTTCTAGTTATAAGGTAAATTAAGTATTAGTTCCGTGATATACAACATGACTATAGTTAACACTGCTATACAGTACATTTGAAACTTACTAAGAGAGTAGATCCTAAAGTTCTCATCACAAGGAAAAAAACCCTTCCCCCCCCTCTTTTTTAGTGTCCATATGAGATGATGTATGTTAACCAAACTTACTGTGGTAATCATTTTGCAATATATGTAAACCAAGTCATTATGCTATATACCCTAAACTTATATAGAATTATGTCAACTATATCTCACTAAATGGATAGAAACACAAATTATAGTACCTAGTAAAAAATTACATGCTTCCTATACATATAAACACTAAAAGTCTCTCTATCTAACCCCCACTCCATGTAAATGGGAAGATTCTTTAGACCATTTTACCTGCATTCATAAGCATAGACATGAAATGCTTTTATGTAAACTGAGCCATAAATTAACTTCTGTACCTGGTAGTTCTTATTTAGCAGTTTAAAGACATTTAGAAATCATAAATCCATTTATGCAAATCCTTAGCAACACTAATTGTAACCAATCTTCTAAATTTTTGTCAGTTCTACAGGTAAAAAGACAATGTGTTTTTCCTTATTATTTGTGAGATTAAACATCTTTTCATGAAGATAGAGAATTTGAATTTCTTCTATGAATTGCCTCTTCACATTATTCACATATGTTCAATTAGGTCAAAAGTTTTTGTAATTTTCTACCAGTTTGCCACAGCCATTCATGTTTGTGGTTTTCATTTTTATGTTGTTAAATTTCTGAATCTCTCTCTAAGGTATTAATCTGTTTAAGATGATATTCCCACCCCAAGACCGTAAAAAGTCTTATTTCTTCCAGTTTTCTATTTCGAGTTTTAATCTACCTGGAATTCATCTCTCTTCCATGCAACATGAGGTAGAAATCTGCCTTTATTTTTGGCTCTGCTCATGATTTTGCATTTCATGAGACTGAGCCCCATGTCAGGCTCTGTGCTCACAGGATGGAGCCTGCTTGGGATTTTCTCTCTCTCTCTCTCTCCCCTCCCCCCGCTCATGCTCTCTCTCAAAATAAATAAACATTAAAAATAAAAAAAAAATGTTCCCATTTATGCGGGTATGTCCCCACACAATTTATACTTCCATTTCATCTTCATCATGCATTTTCTAATGAGGACATTCTCCTAATCACAATACCACAACCACATGCAGGATAATGAACAATAATCCTGCAATAGAATCCAATAATGCAGTCCATATTCAAAATTTCTAATCTATAAGACAGACTTTGTATACCCTACCATAGTATCACACTGAATGGTACATGTATGATCACCTTTTTCTCCATTTGACTACTGCTTAGGGTAGGAATCAGGACCATTACATCTTAAAAAAAATTTTTTTTAACGTTTATTTATTTTTGAGAGAGAGACTGCGAGTGGGAGAAGGGCAAAGAAAGGGAGACAAAGAATCTGAAGCAGGCTATAAGGTGTCTGAGCTGTCAGCACAGAGCCCAACACAGGGCCTGAGCTCACGAGCTGTGAGATCATGACCTGAGACGAAGCTGGACGCTTAACTGACTGAACCACCTAGGTGCCCTGTCAAGACCTTTACATCTAATCCTGGGAGGTCACAGACACTAAATTAACAGTAGACTGAAATGTTTCAATGACTAAAAAAAGAAGATAATCTTAAAACACCACTTTTTCAGTGGCACTGCCAGCCATGGAAAAGGGGGATATTTGGTTTGGGACATATCAAGTCCCAAAATTTAAAAAGTTAATCTGTCCTTATATAAAGATCCATTATGTTGAATCCTTGTTTGTTTTTTTTTTTTAATTTTTTTTTTAAATTTTTAAAATTTATTTCTAGGAGAGAGAGAGAGAGAGACAGCGTGAGCAGGGGAGGGTCAGAGAGAGAGGGAGTCACAGACTGAAACAGGCTCCAGGCTCTGAGCTGGCAGTCAGCACAGAGCCCGACGCGGGGCTCGAACCCACGAACCGCGAGATCATGACCTAAGCGAAAAGTCGGACGCTTAACCGACTAAGCCATCCAGGCGCCCCTGAATCCTTGTTATTTGCTGTCAAGGAAAGAAAGTCTCTCTCAATAAATTGTTAATGCTTTATTTCACAGGATAAGAATTCTTTTTTTTTTTTTTTAATTTCTAGGAGAGAGAGAGAGACAGCGTGAGCAGGGGAGGGTCAGAGAGAGAGGGAGTCACAGACTGAAACAGGCTCCAGGCTCTGAGCTGGCAGTTAGCACAGAGCCCGATGCGGGCCCGAACCCATGAACCGCGAGATCACGACCTAAGCGAAAGTCGGACGCTTAACTAAGCCACCCAGGTGCCCTGGATAAGAATTCTTTAACTTAGCTCTACATTTAATAATCACTTGTAACTATGTTAGCCTAGAATTTCATCTAATAGTTTCTTTCCATTATCAAACTTTGGTTTAAAAAAAAAATTTCATTTTGGGGGCACCTGGCTGGCTCAGTAGGCAGAACATTCAACTCTTGATCTCTGGGTCATGAGTTAGAGCCTCATTTTGGGTGCAGAGTTTACAGAATTAAAAAAAATAATTAACTGTCCCATTCAATAATAACACTTAGTTTTTATAGAAGTCTAAATCATTTTTGAAAATAGTATTAAAGTAAAAATAAAACATTTTAGTAATCTAACCACCTACCATATGGAAGTAAAAGAAAAACCAAAGTAAGCAAAATGGCTTCTGAAGGAACCAAAATACATTTTGCCAAGTCCAAGAATGTTTCTTTAATAATATTTATCGTTATATATTCTGTGGTAGCTCCTGTGCATGGCAATGAGGATTAAAAAGGAGTATAACTAGGCCCCTATGGAGCTCAAACTCTAATAGAAAGGACACATAAAAGACATTTTATTTTAAAGGTAACTAACTAAATTTAAAATGTAGTGGATATATGCACAGGCTTTCACCAGAAATATAATGTAGCATGGGTAGGAGGGAGTCGGAGCTTAGTGGACTTCTAGTAAGAAGTCTGAAAAATTGGAAACATGCAGGAAAAAGTAACAAGAGCAAAGATTTGGGAGTAAGAAATAGCACAGTGTACAGAGAAATTACAGCTACACTACCAATGGAGAATTAAGTCCCAGAAAATGAGTAGAGAGTTAGGCAGTTTCCTTTCATGGAGAGCCCAGGCTGCTAAAGAGCTACTGAAGAATTTTTATCAACGGAGTACCAGGGTCACATTCACACCAGAAGCCCAATTAGGTGCCTAGAGCAATACACAAGTTAAAGTTACAGTTATCAAGACACAGAACAACAAATACATCATTGAAACAGAATAGAGTCTAGGAATAGAACCACATTTATATAGTTAATTTTGGGATGGCTGGGTGGCTCAGTCGGTTGAGCATCCAACTCTTGCTTTAGGATGAGGTCATGATCCCAGGGTTGTGGTGATCACAACAGGTTTAGTGTGGAGCCTGCCTGAGATTCTGTTTGTCCCCTGTTGTCCCTCTTCCCCAACTGCTCTCTCTCTATTTATATACTAAATATACATTATAAGTGTGTCGCCGTGTATATATAACGTAATCTTCTACAAAAGGTGCCAATGGGACTGTCAAAGCACTCCAATGGGCAAAGAAAAACCATTTTTTAAACAAATGATGAAATCCATGGTAAAGGGATTTATATTCCTTAAGAATACAGAATAACTAGAAATCTATGTAGAAAAAAAATGAAACTGGACCCTTAATTCATTCCACTTACTAAAATTAGTTCAAGACAGATCATGGGCCTAAACATAAAAGTAAAACCATAAAGCTTTAAGAGGAAAACAGGAGAATAACTTTATGGTTTGAGGGTAGGCAAAAAAAATTTTTTTGACAGTACACAGATAATCACCATAAAAGGAAAAGCTGGTGAATTAAAACTTCCTCAAAATAAACTACTACCACCAAAAAACATTATTAAGGAAATTAACAAGCAAGTCAAACTGGGAATAATTATACCTGACAAAGGACCAGTATGCTACAATTCAATAATAAAACAACACAATTAAATCGAAACACTTCACAAAGAATCATGAATAGCCAAAAGCAGATGAAAAAGTGTTCAACATCATTAGTCATTAGGAAAATGCAAGGGGAGCCTGGGTGGCTCAGTCAGTTAAGCCTCCAACTCCGGCTCAGGTCCTGATCTCATGGTTTGAGTTCCAGACCCACATTGGGCTCTGCAACTGACAGTGCCTGGGATTCTCTCTACCTCTCTCTACCCCCTCCCCCGCCCCCTCTATCACATACACACAGACACTCTCTCTCTCTCTCAAAATAAATTTAAAAAGCTTTAAAAAAATGAAAAGAAAATGCAAATTAAAACCATAAAAAGACACTACTACACAAGCACTGTAATGGCTAAAATTAAACCGACCACAAATGCTGTTAAGGTTGTGAAGCAATTGGAATTCTAATATACTGTTTGTTGGTGGGAGTGTAAAATGGTATACAACTGCTTGGAAAATGATCTGGTATTTTCTTACAGAACCAAAGTATACTGCATGCTATGATCCAGCAACTCCACACCTAAATATCCACTCTCAGAATGAAAAAAGACTTGCACAAGAATGTTCAAAGCAATTTTAAAGAAAATACATATGTAAGTTTAAAATTTTTAAGATTAAACAATCTCTACACCTAACATGGGGCTCAAATTTACAACCTCAATACCAACTGAGCCAGCCAGGGGCCCCCAAAACATGTAACGTTTAAACATACAATGGACCAATCTAATAAAATTCAATTACTGATAGAAACCACAATGTGGATGAATTTCAAAAATATACTGCGTAAAAGACATTCTACACAAGAATGCATACTGTATGATTCCAAATACATATATAGATTATGAGAACACAAGACTGAGTGGGAAGGGCTTGAGGGAAATGAAGTTTTGGTAATGTTCCATATCTCAACAGGGGTTTGAGTTACACAGGTGTGTAAATTTTTCAAAACTGGCAAATATGCACTGATTTCATACCATGAGATAGTTACCTCAAGAGGTAAAATTAAAAAATCTTGGGTGGAAAAAAAAAGGAGTCTTTACGGCTCAGTTGTGTGACTGGAATGGTAGCAAAGGTATTGTGGCAGGAAAAATAGTTATCCCAGCCCAGGAACCAAATAGATTTTAATTCTTTTCTAATGAATCCTTTTTTACTTACTGAAACCTAAATATCCAATTGACACAGTATCCTTCAGTACCCAAATCTACACTATCAAAATTCAAAAACCAAAGAAAAACGGATAATGAGAACTACTTTTATGAGGTAGATAAAATTGTGAAAACCTGGCAATTTATCCGCTTATTCAGAGAGAAAGATATCAAATGACAACATCCAAATTTTTAGGTAGGGTGACAATAAGGTGCCACCAACCCCTGTAGAGAAATATGTCAACTAAAAATGTAAACCAATTTCTTGGCACAAAAATACATTCTCCAGTAAAGAAAGTTTTATTTCTACAATCTAACACACAGAATAAGATTCAGTACAGCCTTTAAATTTTTCAGAAAAACTGTCACAACCCACAGTATCTTTAAATAAGATAAACTTATTCCAAAGAATATTTAAACAAAATTTAACCATAAATAGATTCAGACTAGCAGATATTCAGAAACTGTGAAAATATACTTTAAATTCTGGGGTGTTTTCCAAAGAAAAAGGGACTGAAAGTTAACCTTAAACGCCTTCTCTCTATAAATTCCACTCTGAACACATACAGAGGGTTTTATATTTCAACCATACTAGAAATTAGCTACTTGTCTGTCTTCACAAAACAGAAAAGTCCAAAGAGGCAAGCATTCTGCCTTGGGAAAAAAAAAAATCCATTACCAGTGCCAGTGTTAACAGGTGCCCAATAACAGAACGCAATTGACAAACTTTGATTCAGACAAAGGACTAGCTGCTACATTTATAACTGCTAACTTAATTAGAAACTTTGTGTTCCAGGCTCTCTGCCTCAGGGCAAAACACCAAAACCAAATCTCTTTGCAAGTAGTTTAGAATGAATTACTCAAATCAGTAAACCAATAGGTTCAACTAACCGGTCAAGTTTAAACGCAGAAATAAAACAATACGATTACCTACGTAAATCAGCCACAAATACGGAAAATGATTCTGCCTGAAGTTGGGAGATTTTTTTTCCCGGAATTGAAGAACTATGTTGAAAGGAAATCTTAGTTGAGTAATCTTAAATCTAATAAGTTATCATAAATAAACTTAAAAAAAGTAATGAAATCAGAAGTCCAATCCTGATTAATCCTGATTTAAGACATTTCGGAAATGCGTTTCATTATTTCCAGATAAAGTCCTGCAGCTTCTAAGTACATTTTAAAAGCACATTAATTTAACTCAACGCATAAAATTTTTGTGTTTCCCACGTTCTCAGGGAGCGTACACTTAGTTATATTTGCCGGTTCCTGAGGGCTGAGAGGGGCCAGAAAAGTAACCTAGACTAAAAGCACAAATTCTAATGAAATTAAAATCTTCAACTAACCGAAAGAAAAAGCTTGGAAGCCTGGCGCTGCACCTTTAAGACCTCTTAGACACTAGATGGGCCGAAACTGCTAAGCCTTTAAGTCAACTTCTTGGAAGATACACGGGATCCGCGCGCAATTCAGTCTGAAGCCCAGGCCCCAGCGATGGCTCCCGGCGGCTCGGCCAAGATGGGGCGGGAGCAGCAGGCGCGGAAGGCCGTTACAGGCCGCGCGCGCACGCGGCTTTCGCGCCTCCAAACTGGGCAGCCCAGCCTCCCGCTCCCGGCTAAAATAGTCACAGCCCCGAGGCGGCTGGGTCACCTCCTCACCTTACGAGCTTCATCCTAGCGGTGCCGGCACTCTTTCGGTCGGATAGCGCACAAAATCTGGAAACTCAAGTCCAAAGAGCCTAGGAGTATGAATGGCCGGAAACGCCTACTCCCTGGGTACCGACGTAAAGAGCGCGAGGAGCGCTGCGGACGCAAGGCGGAAACGCCGGGCCGCGCTGGGCCGAACTTCCTTCCGGCCGCGCGGAATGCCACTGCGGCCCCTGGCGGTTGGAGGTGCGTCTTGCGACTGCTGAGGGCGTTTAGACCTGGTCCAGGAGGCAGTTTCTGGTAAGAGGTGGATTTGAAGATGTCAAATCCAGTTATTGCGCACTTTGCCACGGCTGGAACCCGTGTATTATGCAACGCTAATATACTCGTGAACATAGGGACGTTCTGAGGAAGTTCAAGAATTATGCTAGTTCTTCTCCAACACCAGGAACTTCTGCATTACTTCATGTACCTGAAGAAAATCACACAGTTTAACGGATTATTTTTACACTAAATTCTGGTCACAAAATTACCCTACACTGATTTTGTAGGAGAGATTGTATTATGGTTCTCTGATAAATTCAACAACTTCATTCCTTCTTCTTTCCCTCTGAAATTTTTACAGGCTCTCTTTCAGATCACTCTCTGCTACTATTTCCTACTTTGAGAAAACCAGAGGTCATCCTTAAGCTTTTCTTCCAGTTAGAAGTATTGTTGCTTCTTGCCAAGGCAAGTTCCTCTTCGTTGTAGTCTGGATCCCATCTCTCACTTTATCAAGAATTTCACTCATCACAATTACCACAAGATAATTTCAGTTATCTCCAAACTTAAATCATCAATTTCTCTCTATGGGATTTTTTAGTAAGCATACAAATTATCTTAAAAACAAAACAAAATTCTCCTCTGATGCATCTCCAGCTACTGTCAGATTTATTTCACATAAAAGCTGCTTGAATGAATTGTCTACACTTGTTTTATCACCTGTATTTCACTCTTCAAACTCCACTGAAATCGCTTTTCTAAAAGTCATCAAAAACCTCCAAGACAAACCTCTATCTTCATCTAACTCAATATTTCAGCCGCATTTAAGATAAATGCAACCTCTGAAAGAGGCTCATATCTTGATAGGATACTAAGCTCACCTGGTTTTACTTCTGTGCCACTAGTTATACTTTCTAGGTCTCAGCTGCCTCTTTCTGTACTGAGTCATTACATGTTGGAGTGTATCAGGGCTTACCCTCGGTGTACTCTTCATATGGATACTTTCTCCTTTAGCCTAGGTGATCTCTAAAACCATGGCTTTAATTTGTATCTCCAGCCTGAACTTCATCCCTGATTATCAGAACTCTTGGATGTTGCAAGACAATGGTGATCAGACTTTTACATGCATAGGACACACCTGTGGAAACTTTATAATGAAAATTCTGCCTCAGTCAGTTAAATGTGTGACTTTGGCTCCCGTCATGATCTCACGGTTCATGAATTTGAGCCCTGCATCACGCTCTCTGCTGTCAGCACAGAGCCTACTTTGGATTCTCTGTCCCCTTCTCTCCCTTCTCTCTCTGCTCCTTCACTACTCACATTCTCTCTCTCACCCTCCCTCTATCAAAAATAAACATTAAAAACAGAAAAAGTTCTGATTCAATTGATTTGGGGGCTGAAATTCCGTATTTCTAAAAGTCTTCAGTTCAGTGTAGCCTTCAGTTGATGAAGATGCCCCTAGTTTATGGACCATCATTTGAGTAGTAAGACTGTTAATGTTCATTTCTGTGCAGCCTGTTCATTATCTATACCTCTGTCCTCCTACCAGTTCCTAATAATTTCCTGATAATGTATGTATTCCCAAGTAAGCTGACTCTACTCTTATGTAAGTCATCATATTCGATTACTTGCCACAGTGGCCTTGGGATGTAGGCTGATCCAGTCAAATCTTTACAGGAAATACTCTTTCCTTTTGGATGTGAATGCAGAGGTAGTAGAACCAAGTGAAGAATCAGTCTTAGGAGGGGCGCCTGGGTGGCTTAGTCGGTTGAGCGTCCGACTTTCGCTCAGGTCACGATCTCACGGTTCGTGGGTTCAAGCCCCGCGTCGGGCTCTGTGCTGACTGCCAGCTCGGAGCCTGGAGCCTGTTTCAGTCTGTGACTCCCTCTCTCTCTGACCCTCCCCTGCTCGCGCTGTCTCCCTCTCTCTCTCCTAGATATAAAAAAATATATATATATATAAAAAAAAAGAATCAGTCTTAGGAAAGATTAAAAACAAAAAACAACCCAAAACCCATGATGATATTAAAAAACCCGGGGATTTAAAAAAAATACCTAAATGTGGCTACTTAAATTAAAACTAAATAAAATGATAAAGTCAGCTCCTCATATGCAATACTCACACTTCAATTAGTCAAGAGCCATATGTGGTTATGGCTACGCTTTGGGATAGTGCAGATATAGGGCATTTCTATCAGCACAGAAAGTTTGTTAGATAGTGCTGCCCTGTTTATTACCATATTTGTTTCCTTCTTTGCATTTAATTGTTATTTACTTATTTATTAACTAACTTGTAAGTATACTGTTTGAAGGCAGAGATTTGTATCTTTTTTGTTAATTTCTGCATTCCCAGCATCGGGAATAGTGACTTTCACAGAACACTCTCTCAATAAATATTTGTGAAATAATTGATTGTCTTCTCCATGAGGAAGGAGACCCTGTGTGTATTGCTTACTACAGTATTGAGCACAGGGTACTCTTTCCTGTTATCCTCAAGGCCCTTCCTACTTTGGCTGTGCTTACCTTTTAAACTCTTTTCCCCTACAATAGTATTGGAATGTTTGAGTTCTTTTTTTTTTAAATTTTTTTTAATGTTTTATTTATTTCTAGGAGAGAGAGAGAGAGAGAGAGAGACAGCGTGAGCAGGGGAGGGTCAGAGAGAGAGGGAGTCACAGACTGAAACAGTCTCCAGGCTCTGTGCTGGCAGTCAGCACAGAGCCCGATGCGGGGCTCGAACCCACGAACTGCGAGATCATGACCTAAGCGAAAGTCGGACGCTTAACCGACTAAGCCACCCAGGCGCCCCTGGAATATTTGAGTTCTTGAAACTCATCAGGCTCATTCTCTTCTCCAGACTTTTGTAATTCAATTCTTTAATCTGGCTAACACTTTCTCATGCCTTCTCAAGCATGTGGGGCCAGCATTATTACTTGTATGTGTTAGTAGTGAGTCTCCCAGAAGATGGCACATTGAAATGCCATTGTCAGTTGATTTATATCAAATTGCTAGACTTTTTCTTTGTTTTTATTTTCTAGACTGAAGTTCATAATTTCATAAACTCTCTCCCAGTAACTCTCTCAAACTGTCAAGAGTCTTGAAATAAGTCAACAAGAGGACTAACAAAGAGAAAAGGCTTTATTTGCTGCTAGCAGAAAGAGGAGTCTGAAAAGAATACTCTCTTTTGGGAGTTAGCAGAAGTTTTATAGGTTATAGCATTAGATTGGTCACAAGAAAGAAAAGGAACAAGGAAGTGAAAATGTGATGTGTGGGGCAATGCAACTGCTTCATTATTAGTTTTTAGAAGTAGATGTCCTCATGATAAGCAAGGACAGAAAAAGTACATTATGCAGTTTGGAATTAGAAAAGAAAACAATTTAAACAAGCCTAGACTATATTCACAATTTTGAGTTTATCAAAAGAATTTACTAGTAGGAGCTTGTAGTTCTTGGATTATGAAGAATTATGTGAGGATTATGAAAAAGACCTTTGCAATTTATAGAACCATAATGTTGAGCATTAAGATGCATTATCTAGGCCACAGCATGTGTTTTCAGCATGTGTACACAGCAAAATGTAAATTAATCAGAGTTCTCCCCCAGAACTTCCTCAGGAGTTCTCAGGAATGGAGGCCTCTCTTTTTACTGGGACCAGTTTGCTGTGAGTTTATGTAATCTTTGAAAGCCCAGTCAAGCAAGGTAATTTATTCAGTTCATTATGATTTCTTTTAGTAGATAACCAAATTAAATAAAGCAAATTCCAAAGTTCATACACAGACTGCTCTAAATAAAAACCGTTGATAGAAAGCAAGACAAATTTTGTCAAAAATGACATTACAGAATAATTAAGAATTAAATTACAGATTGAGACCTCTGACACTAATGAATCAGAAGTGAGATATCTTTTAAAATGGTAAAGAGGGCCACCTGGATGGTTCAGTTGGTTAAGTGTTAGACTTCAGCTCAGGTCATGATCTCATGATTCATGGTTTTAATCCCTGCATTGGGCTCTGCCCTGACAGTGAAGAGCCTACCTGGAATTTTCTCTTTCTCTCTGCCTCTCCCTCACTCTCTCTCTCAAAATAAATAAACTTTAAAAAATGATAAAGGATAGTGCTCAAGAAAGTTTATTTTTTCCATAAAAGTAATTTTTAAACATTTTATTGATATATAATGGACATATGAAATTGTATAACTTGGGGCATCTGGGTGGCTCAGTCCATTCAGTGTCTAACTTCGGCTCAGGTCATGATCTCACAGTTTGTGAGTTCAAGCCCCATGTTGGGCTCTGTGCTGACAGCTCAGAGCCTGGAGCCTACCTCAGATCCTGTGTCTCCCTCTCTCTCTGCCCCTCCCTTGCTCATGCTGTCTCTTTCAAAAATAAACAAACCAAAAAAAAAAAGGCATACAATGAGTTGATTATATATGTTTGTAGATTACAATTATGTTTACCATCTTAGCTGACTTCTCTATCATGTCACATAATTATTTGCTTTTTGTGGTGAGAATAGTTAGGATCTATCTAGTCTCTTAGCAACTTTGATGTTTATAATATGGTATTGTAAAAGCAAACTATTTTTTACTTTCATGGCATGTTTAAGAAGCCGACTATATTTGGTTTTAGAAAAGAAAATCCAGAAAATTGCAGACATGAATTACACATCAAATTTGATTTACTTATATACCAAAATAGGTACATAAGAGTTCACATGGCCTAACATTTGTAAGGATTGCTATGCTTATGATGGTGACCACTTCAACAAGTAGAGTGGAATAGATTCCTCAGAAGCAGAGGCCTATTTTGTGAGAAAGGAAACTTGTAAATGTGGTATGTATGCAGAATTTGAATGACTAAAAATAAAGTGGTTTACACAGGAAAAGAAATCCCACC